CACCCATTGATTTACAGAAAAAGAAAAGATCAGGGAAAAATTTGTAGAAGCTTTAAGAAAAGAATTCTCATCTTCTGGTTTAGTGTTTTCAATTGGTAAGTGCATGTATGAATATAGAGTGTGCCTAACCATAGAGCATAAAGTTGACAAATCATACAGATTTCTGCCTTTTAGAAACAGTATTTTTATATTTCCTTATACGGTAAAAGAAGTGTCATGAGAATTCAAAACTAAAATCTCTCTGATTGGTTAAATAATCCATGTGGCACAATAGGTGATTTTCCGTTCAACTGCGAGATGCATGAAAGACGCGCATCGAACGTCTGCCAAAAAAATCAAACGATTTGATTTTGAACTCAAATTTCTTTATTTCGTAGCTCACATCGACTGGCCGATCTTCGACAGAGGAATATTGCTTTCGAATACCCTCAATTAATCAAAATTGTCTATCATCAAATGTGTACAGCACATTATCAAGCATGAAAATGCCTCCAAAATATTTTCACGTTTGTTGAATCCCACGCGATGTTTGACGCCACTACGACGCTATGACCTTTGTTTGTCTTGTTTTTACGTTCGATTTCACACATAACGTGTGATTCTTGTAGTGAACGGAAAATGGTCTATTGCCACACTAACTAATTATTACACTTAGGATAGTTACAACTCTTACTGCTAAATATTTTTGGTTTGCATATAAATTGTGGGAGCATTATGTGTGGATTAAATATGCAGCACTCAAAATGCAAATATACCTTACTCACGATAAAATAATATGAGGTTATTACGAGGATACAGAAAAGTATGCATGAAGACAGTACAGTCGGAATATCGACCGATGCACAGCAGACTGTCAGAGTGTATACTTTCCAGTATCCTTGTAATAACCTTATTATTATGCATCTTTTCCTCCCAGGGATGCCGAAATCCAACAAATTTTGAACAGATTTAGAAAACCTCTTTGTGTAGGATTGAGTTAAACCCCGGAGGCAGTCATGTTTGTTTTTATTATTAGAGGACGCTTATGCACAAAATCATTCCATATTTGGAACTGTATTTTTTAATATGGTAATATGCAAATACCCAGTGCAATACCACAAAATTACGGCATGCTGTAACTTATGGCATTACGATGACAGATGTATAATAAAAAATAATTTTTCCATTTTTGCAGGTGGTCAGATAAGTATAGACGCTTTTCCAAAAGGCTGGGACAAAACTTATTGTTTGAACCATCTGAAAGACGAGGGCTTTAAAACAATCCACTTTTTCGGAGATAAAACATCACCGGTAAGAATGATTTACTGTTTCAGTTTCTTATTTGATTCCATTCAATATTGTACTATTAGGATTTTGATTATAAACTTGTATTTGACATATCTGTTATTAAGACCTGATTATACATGGACCACTATATAGAATTGCAAATAAATATATATATATATATATTGGATATTTTGCAGAAAATGTGTTTTTCATTTGAATAAAAATATTAATTTTGCACATAATTTTCGCATTGTACATTGTGAGCTGCACGCCATGTTATTGACAATGGCAAGTTCTACATGTATGAAAAGGGATATCCATGGTTTTAATAATAATAATAGTATCATAATACATATCTACATATTTGTTCCCATGCTCAGGCGATTACAAATTATTCAATCCCGGAATGCAAAATTTAAGTAATTTTAATATGTTGGTTTTAATCATGCGTTTGGCATTTTTTTTTTGATAGGGTGGTAATGACCATGAAATATTTGCTGACTCAAGAACTATTGGTCACTCTGTCAAAGGTCCAGATGATACACGTAATCAGGTTGAAGAACTCTTCTTTAAGAATTAATCCATTATTATTGATTATCTTGTCTTCCTGTCACATGTAATGAGACAACTAAAATAAAACTAAATTTATCTTGAATTATATAAAATTGATAACTGTAAATATTCTAATTTAGGTGTTACTTATGGCACATTTCAATCTTTCCTGATGTCTTAATTAGAGTAGTGTCAATGGTTAACTCCATTTCCACAAGGTTAAATTATCACTGGAAAATGAGTTAAATACTTCTTCAATGCTCAGTTTTATTTTTAAAAAAATTAAAAATTTCCTGGCACAATCTAGCTTTCTGATTATTTTAATTTTAAATTAATAATCTGCTTTTCCTGTCACTTCAAATGACAAAGTTTCAGGTCAACTCGTAAATGGAAAAAACATGGCAGATACATTTCACATTTGGTGTTTACATGGGGTTGAAAACATTTGCTTTCAATCAAACTAAATTGAATTGACTTGCATTTCATTGTAAACCAAAGAATATTTTTTTTGCATGTTAGTATAATCAATGATCATAACTTTGAAAACATGTGAAATAGCATGACCAGATTAACACTACTGTGATCGTTTTCCACTAAATCAATGTGTCAGTGTTGTTGTTTTTACATGAAACTTGTTCTATACTTAAAGTTTAAACCAGTAATTTTTGTTATAAATTTTTTTTTAAAAAAGAGTGACACCTACATTGGAATATTTACAGTATATTTTTTTTCAGGGATAACTGTTGTATACTCAAAATTTAGAGATTAGTAGGTGAAAATTATTGTACATTTTCATGGATTTTAAGGATCAGGGAAGGGTCAGATTTTGTATTTGGATTCACTTACAGGACTACATGGGGAAGTCTTTTGGTGTGCAGAACATGCAACCTTATCATATCAACTTAATTTCATATTTTCTTATGGTAATAGAATTTTTAATTTGGCACAAGGCGAATATTTCTTATGTCGTTTTGTTCTGTATTTCAATACCTAGCATAACAGAGAATTCCATTATTTAATTTATGGTGACTTGTTTTTATCAAATTTGACTGTGACAATATTCATTGTAATTATTATTGTTCAGAAGTTTTGATAAAATATTGAAAGATATCATAAATATTGATATATACATGTATATATTGGAAAAGACCTGTATTGTGGTACACTTGAGAAAGAGCTATCGTTGCTATTAGATATATCAAGCACATTAGGATAGCACACGATGGAAGCACAACACAGTCTAGCTGTTTACTGTGTGGTAAAAAATAGTTAAAATGTTTTTTAGAACATTTTTTTAAAACAAGATATACACATTATGGTTTACTATCAACACAATACGCCATTATCTCTTGTTGAGATGCCATATTACCATTCAGCACATACAAAATGCTTGTTCTTGGATGTTGATCTTCTGTGCAAAACAATTATGTTGAATGCTTGGTGATTTCAGCCATTAATCAGTGGATAAAGCATAGTAATGTTAAAATTGGGTAAATATATATAATGAAATATTATTAAAAATAAAGAATATTTTATGATTGGTGGAAAATTGTGCAATTTCATTTATTGCTATTGTTATTGAGTACAGGTATACTTGTATGAATAATGGCATCCTGATTAAACATTGTTGAACATTGATGACAAGCAATCTTGGCCACCCATAAGATCTTTGTACAAATTATGGATAAATAAAATAGCTGATTGCATTTTACACTTTGCCCATGTACACGAATTTATGTTTTTTATTTATTTATTTAAATTACATTATGAAAATACCACTTGCCGATCCTCATATTACCAAATTTGCGTAATCATTCATAATGTTATTTAATCAATGAAACTTGGTACATAGATGGTCTGTGCATTAAAATCTGTGCATATTAATTACATGATTTGCATAATAATTAGTTTTCAGCTTTGTTATCAATATCTCAATTATCTTATTTTAATGAATCTTGGTACGTAAATACTCAAAGATAATCTAATTTGTTTTTGGTTTATATACATCTACAATTACCTAATTTATCTCAAAAACTAATTATTGCATTTCGAGAAGACTTGGTATACAAGACCTGATTAGCTTTGGATTGAAATTCGAGAAATTTGGTTTATAGATTCCCTGGGGTAATCAACAGACATATGCATATCGATTATCTAATTATCATTAGCCAATTTCTAATATCTTAAAAAAATCAGATTTAAATTGAACTTGTGATAGAGGTGCTTTGGAGTAAAAAAAAACACAGATGTAAAATCAAATGTATTTTCTGTGAGTTTTCTGATTGTTTTCCTTGATTATTTTTAAATGACGCGTAAAGTGTGTGTACGTCTGTTATGATACTTATTGGAAAACGATAAAATGAATTTATTATGAAAGAACAATAACCTATCATAAGTAATACTGATAATACAGTTTTTATTCTTGGCGCATGAACATGAAGGGAAACAAAGAAAACGCATGCGCAGGTGACGACTCCCCCGCTTCAATGAACGTTTGTAACATCCGTCTTTTTGGTTGTGCACTGTATTCAATTTGGGAGAAAAACAAGTAAACCATGAAGTAGACCAATGTTGTGTAAAAATCAGTCAGTGATTACATGACAGGATGCCGCCCCTCTAAAGTTTTTGATAGGGGATAATAACCCATAATAAGGTTACATTGCCCCTCTACATTAGAATCCCTACTGTATATGGTTACACGGAAACTAAAATAATGTCTGAAATGAAACACTAGAGTTTTAAAAGATTGTCCCATACATGAAAGGAATACCCCCAGTAGCATGTTAATGTGTTAACCGTGTACAGTGTAATAGAATAAGTAAAGGTCAGTTGTTGAATGACTGGTCTCTTGAAAAAGGTGACTACACCTACTGGGCAAGTTGTGAAGAAAAACATTGTTTGGGGATATATAATAATAATAATAATTTTTATTGCTTAATCGTATCCTTATTTGGATATTGACTCAGAAAAAGAAAATTACAATAAATAAGAAAAACTGAGGCAAAAATGTGGCAAAATGGAAGTGCTAAAATAGAAAAGAATAGAAAAAAAGAAACTATTTATTTAGGGGCAGCTGGTTGTTTTTTTAAGTGATTTTCTCTGGCACTGATACAATTATAGATGTAGCTTGCTAGTTTTGTTATTTATTATTTCCTTCAACATTTCAGTTCTCTCATTTTCACACAGCTTGCATTCAAGTAAGTAGTGTGCATTTCGTCGTCAATCTCATTTTAGTCGCAAGCAATGCACTTTCTACTATCGCAAGGATTTTTTTGTATCGTCTTTTTTCTATTTTTAAAATATGGGCGCTAATTCTCAATTTTGTTAACGCTACTCTATGTTTTGCATTTGTTACTGTTGTTAGATAATTTTCATAATGGCGCTTTGGTTTTTGTTTTTATTATCAATATTCAATGTGATAATTGTTTTCTCCCTTCCATGGCGATTTTGTAAAAATCCAAATTATAGTTAATAGCCATGGAAGAGAAATATTAAGGACATGTCTTGTGATATTATAAATTAAAAAGTAACACAACACTTATCAAGGGTGCTACAATCAATTGGGCCACTGGTCCTCCTCTCCTTTAAATCCGCTGGTGCACTTGATATTTATTGTTATTGTGGCGAGAGAAACGTTCGATTGTTTGACGCCCACGACTTGTATAGGTGTCCTGCTTTCATACGCACGTTGTTGTGAAAGTGGTTGTCATAATACTGTCATTGAACGAACGTAGTCTGAGTACGCTACAATAGTAGTCAGCTGATTCAGCCTGTCACGATTTCCGAAGTCATTGGGTCAGTATCACCTAGGTAAACTGTCGTTTATCGCAACGTGCAGTTACTAAACGTAGCGAGGAAATCGGTTGTTATTTTTGGCCAAGAAGAACACAGTTTACGTTTTCCCAGAGCGTTCTCATGTGGCCGTTGTTTTTGGCTTACGTACAGTAATACCTATCGCAATATGCCGGGAGATCCATTAACGAAAGAAGGTAGTAGGCCTGGTACTCGAGCAGAGTCCAGAATGAGTGTTATTCATGAGAAGAAAAATAATCGTTTGGATAAACGAATCGTCCGTGTTTTCTTCAGTTCACCCTTCAGAGGTTTGGAGATTGAGAGAGAAGAAATGACCAAGAAATATTGGCCTAGATTGTCAACTATGTGTAGTAAAGCAGGATTTGAATTTGTGCCGGTTGATTTAAGATGGGGCATTACTTCTGAGATGACCGAGAACGCAGGAACATTAAATGTTTGCTTACGGGAGGTAGATCGATCAGACATGATAGTCGGATTTTTTGGACAGGTAAGTGTCTCACTTTTTAGCGCCGCCGTCATTGAAGCATCTTCGTTAGCCAAGGTTCATTTATTTATATCGCCTTATATTTAATACACCTTGGCAGACAGTATGTAGTCAACACGTATTTAGGTGCGCCCTCTCTGGCAATACTTGAGATATTGTCCTCAATTCATTGTCAAGTCAACATTGGTCGTTATAGTTACATCCCGGGGTTACAAAATTTATTTTTGCTAGAAAACTGTGCTCCGCCGAATCAACGGAGCCATTTCGTCAGGTCGCTTGTCATTATTTACACTGCCCAGTTCTGGTGAGTGTGCATGACTCTACGGCGACATATTTTAGTCGAGTTGGAGTCAGATTATAGAATGTTAAAACGTCTGTAGGCATGATGAGATTTGGCGAATCTATATGTATGAGATAGTTAAGACTGGTCTCGGTACTTTTATTCAATGAGGTAACAGGCTTTAAGCGCGATTATGAAAGTATTTTCTAGTTTTGAATATTTCGCTGACTTATTATATGACTCAGGTGCAGATTTGTGTTGAGGGCAGGAGTGTTTTTCTATTTTTTGCAGGGGACGGGAAATATCAGTACCCCCCCCCCCAGTGGGCAGGGCAGATTTCTAAAAAAAATGCAAGGACAGAGAAACTTTTTTTAGTGGGTAGGGTACTTACATAAAAAAATATCGCAGGGTGGGCAAATCAGCCTTCAGGCAGGGTATAATGAAAACCGCATTCGGGGAAATAACGTCTGTTAAATGTGGGCAGCCGTGTGCTATCAATAACTGAAAATGCGAGTCATCCACTGATCTGCTGAGTGGTTAATGTATCCGCCCCAAGGGAAGGCAACCCAACGAGAGAAGAGTAGGGAAAAAAACGCTTTTTAATGAGGGGGAGGGGAAAGATGAATTTGGCCAGCAGGAGGGCAAGTCGGCGGTCGGGGAGTAGGCAAAAAAGTTTTTTCTACTGAGGGCAGGGGAAAGATGAATTTGGTGAGCAGAAGGGAAAGACAATTTGTTTTCAGGCGGAGGGTAGCTTATGAACAGCTTTTAATTTCTCCTCTTTCCTTAATATTAATTAGCATACTTCAAAAGAATCATAAAATAAATATCGTCCCAGAGAATTGACTATTTCAATTTATTGCTCGTTGGCTGCACCTGATGACTGTGATTTCATATGAATCATTCATGATACACAATTCACTAACTTAAAGGGCAGTGGTCGTCGCGCCGCGTTCTGTTCGATATGTGACTCTTAGCGACGTACACAACGCGTGTAAAATACATTGTTTGTTTGTTTGTTTGTTTGTTTACATGAAATTCGAACACGCGCTGCGCCACGATTCACATAAACAAATCCATCACCAAACACTGGCAGTATTAATTATTCAATAATATTTGTTTTCTTGCCGTGATACATTTATCATATCTACCCGTAACGCCACGATCGGTACGAAAATTAAATATATTCGGAACATAGATCAATAATATTTATTTATTTATTTATTTATTTATTTATTTATTTATTATACAATGTACAATCAAATTCGTCGTATGATACAGGGAAACGAGGTAAATACAGAAAACTAGGCGATGTTAATCTAATTTGTTGGCCTGTTCGTAGGTAGTTATCCATCTTATCATACAATTATAAATAGACAGTACTACACTTAAACAAGCCGAAGACAGTGACGAGCAGGCAGTTTTTTCTTTTAGCGATATGGTTGGCATGGTAGCGATGAACTTTTACAGAAGAGTTTTGATGCTGCGTCAGTGCAATACCCATGGGTGGATGAATACCGTGACAGATCAGTGACTGAGATAGAATTTCTACACGGCCACCTTAGGAATCCTGGTAATAAACCTGCATGTTTCTTCTTCAGAGACAAGGTACGTATATACATGTACATATATATATATATATATATATATATATTGGGTATATTGTGATGTACCAGTTTCTTTAGATTTCAGACAATATCTGTAGTTTGGCAAATTATTCATGTTTGATAACTTTTTGGAAAGTCAAAGAAAACTTTCTGACTTCTATATCTTTAGACATAAGGGTGATCTTTGATTTTGTTATAAGAACAAAAGTAATGACTTGAAAATATGACGTATATATATTGTCTTGCCGACTACCCAATACATTCAGTTAATGCGCATCTGGTAATTTATTTAGGCCTATGATGATAAGATGTTAGAGGATTGTCTGTCTTCCAATAGTCAAATAGTATCCATGAAATACCAA